CCAGAGCCCAGCAGGTCGAGGTTGCGGTGGCTGGGAGCGGCCACTGCACTCCAGTCTGGGCGACAGAGTGAGACTCCAACTCAAAAAGAAAAACTGTTCCTAATTCAAGGACAAAAGTAATAAAACTGTTTTCCACAAATCACATCTCTCTCATTTATTTATATTTGCATCTTTTATCAAGGTTTACATGTGGAAACACTAAAAAAGTCAAATAACCTAATTAAACCAGATCTTAGTTTATATCTCAGAGATTAGTTATATTATTACATTAAAAATAAAAATCAAGTTGGGCTTGGTGGCTCAGCCTGTAATCCAAGCACTTTGGGAGGCCAAGGCAAGTGAATTGCCTGAGCCAAGTTCAAGACCAGACCGGGTAACTTGTTGAGATCTCATCTCTACAAAAAAAATAATAATAAAAAAATAAAATAAAATAAAAATCAGGCCAGGCATGGTGGCATGTGCCTGTGGTCAGAGTTACTCAGAAGGCAGAGATAGGATTGCCTGAGCCCAGGAGCTCAAGAATGCAATGAGCTATGATTGCACCACTGCACTCCAGTCTGGGCAACAGAACCAGATCCTGCCTCTAAAAGAAAAAAAAAATCTTCAAAATTAATAAATAAAAATTATCTTAACTCTGAAAACTGTGAGCATAGAGACTGGGAATTCACAGGTTTTAACTCATAATGAAGACGAAGATTATAACAGCAGTTTGGGACAAAAAAATACCAACTGCTTCTAATTACAGATACAAGATTTTTTTTCCTTGCCTGCTTTTACATTTTCACTTACTTTCCAGGTTTTCTTCAATAATTTCTTCAATTATCACATCAGGGCTAGATCCCATTTGAGGCAGCACAGCAATGGTTTTAGGGGATATCGCTGCAACAACCTCTTTCTGTGACTGAAAGTTTTTTGCTTCTAAGCACACACTGTTGGTCTCTAGTTGCAAAGGTGGTGATGGTGTTTCACTGGTCAGGACAGACATGTCAATCTTCTTCATTTCTAGTGATGAGCACACACTATGACCAGAAAGCTCTTCCTTTTTATATTTCCTTTGAACATTCTGTCCAATCTCCTTTTCTTGGGGATAACATCTGTTTGAAAATACAGAGATAAGGCGGGTGCAGTAGCTCACACCTATTGATCCCAGCACTTTGGGAGGTTGAGGCAAGAGAATTGCCTGAGCTCACAGGTTCGAGTACAGCCTGGGCAACATGGCTAGACCTCATCTCTACAATAAAACAAAAAAAATTAGCTGGGCGTAGCGGTGTGCTCCTGTAGTTCCAGATGCTTGGAAGGCTGAAACAGAAGGATCACCTGAACCCAGCAGGTCGTTGTGGTGACTGTGAGCATGCCACTGCACTCCAACCTGGGCAACAGAGTGAGACTCCAACACAAAAAAAAAAAAAGGAAAGAAAAGAAAATACAGAGATATATGGCTATGATACAAAGGTATATGATACAAACCTGAGCAAATCATTAGAGACTTCCACTGTGGCTAATAATTACCATTAATCCAAATCCTTTGGTATGATTATTCAATAGACACTAATCCACAGCTAATTATCCATTCTACTCCATATTTTTCTATCTTCCCTTAAAAACCAGGAAAAAGTTTTACAAGATTATACTCAGAGTTAATTTAAAATCAATAGAAGATCAGTACAGACTCTCAAAGAGATAGAATTGCTTTTAGCCTTAAAAATACTTGATAGTAACCATATTCAAGTTATGAAAATACCTTAAAAAACATATTGACTGCAAAGGTTCCTGATTATCCACAGCAGCACAAAAAATCAAGTCACAGAGGCAGATGTAGGGCAGGGTTCACTCAAGCATGAGGGAAGAGGCTCTGCCCTTACGCTTAGTGACGAGGAAGGTTCTCCCTCTGGAGGAATGCAGTCAGCTATCTTAGCTAATGCTGTTCAGTTATTTGATTAACCTCATTCCTTTAATTCCAGATAGATTACAAACAAAGCAACTGAAAACGTGACTTCTCACTTCTGTCTGGGTTTTGGAAAAGAATGCCAACATAAATATTCTAGCTCCTGTTAACAACTATATTTATCTATCAAGTCAACAACTGGCATTCTGACTATTCACTAGTTTTGTGATCTTGCTCATGTATGTTTCTGAAGTTGTAAGACCATGGGCCAGGCTGAGTTTTTCCCCTAAGGTAAAAAATGTGAAGTTTTTTTTTTTTCTTTTTTTGAGTCAGAGTCTCACTCTGTTACCCAGGCTGGAGTGCAGTGGCACGCTCACAGCCACTGCAGCCTTGACCTGCTGGGCTCAGGCAATCCTTCTGCCTCAGTCTTCCAAGTAGCTGGAACTACAGGTGGGCACTACCACGCTTGGATTATTTTTTTATTTATTGTAGAGACGAGGTCTCACCAAGTTGCCCAGGCTGGTCTTGAGCCCCTGAGCTCAGGCAATCCTCTTGCCTTGGCCTCCCAAAGTGCTGGGATTACAGGCTTGAGCCACTGTGCCCGGCCTGTGATGCATCTTAAAGGACCATTTCCCCTGGAGGTAATCTACCTTCAAGTGAATGGACTTATTTATTTTGGGGGGAGTTTCTACATCAATATTCTGTCTATTCCTAAGCCCAGAATCAAGTCCAAGATCTCTTAAGTCTTTGCATATACTATCTGATTGTGCTCTAACACTTCTCTTCAAATAGCTGATAAACAATAGAAACTCAAAATACCCACTGTCTTCCTCCTCCCAACTTACTTTTCCTCCTGTATTTCTAATCTTGACAAATAATACGATAACCCATCCATTTAGTCACCAAGGCCAGACCTGTAACCATTGAAGATGCTTCCAGCTGGGCATGGTGGCTCATGCCTGTAATCCTAGCACTTTGGGAGGTGGAGGCAAGAGGATTACCTGAGCCCAGGGGTTCAAAACCAGACTGAGAAACATGATGAGACCTCACCTCTACAATAAATTTTTCAAAAATAGCTAGGCGTGGTAGTGCATGCCTGTGGTTCCAGCGACTTGGAAGGCTGAGGCAGAAAGATCGCCTGAGACCAGCAGGTTGAGGCTACAGCGGCCGTGAGCATGTCACTGCACTCCAGCCTGGGTGAGAGAATGAGACTCTAACTCAAAAAAAAAAAAAAAAAAAGATGTTTCCTTGCATCCAAACATTACTGAGTTGTATTAATTTCTCCTATGTGGCATTATTCTCAGTCCCTATCCAGTGCTACTACCTATATTTGGGTTCTCATCATTTGCTGAGTCTACTGACACAATGGCCTAACTGTTCTTTCAGCATCAATGGTCATACTCTTTCCAAATAATCCCCAAAATGGCAATCAGCTTTATCTTTTAAAAATGTGATCCAGTTGTTTTTACTTTCATGCTTAAAACCTTTTTATGGCTTTCTACTGCCTACAGCTATGCTGTAGAAGAGAACTTTCAGTGATAATTGAAAATGTGCTGCATTGTCTAATATGGTAGTGCTATGGTCTAAATGTCTGTTCCAAAATGCATGCTGAAACTTAATACTCAATGTGGTGATATTAAGAGATGGGGCCTTTGGAGAAGTGATGCAGTCATATGGGCTCTGCCCTCCTGAGTGAATCAGTGCCTCACTAAAGGTCTAGAGGGAACCAGTTTAAGCCCTTTTTTGCTCTTCCACCTATGAGGAAACAGCATGTGTTCCTTTTTTGCCTTTCTGTCTCTTCTGCCATGTGAGGACACAGCATTCAAGGTGACATCTTGAAGAAGAGATCAGGACACCAAACCTACCAGCACTGATCCTGGGATTACCAGCATCTAGAACTGTGAAGAAATAAACTTCTGTTCTTTGTAAATTACCCAGTCTCAGGCATTTTGTCATAGCAATACAAACAGACTAAGACAGATATCTACTAGCCCTGTGCAACTACTAAACACTTGAAATGTGGGTAGTGCAACTGAAGAACTGAACTTTTAATTTCATTCAGTTTTAATTAATTTATGCTTAAATTTCAGTAGACACGTGGTTAGCAGCTACCATACTGGACAGCAAGGACTCAGACAATAAGGTTCTAATACAGTGAGACAGAATACAATGTCTTCAGGACTTGGCAGCTACATATCCTTGGGAATATACAGAATGGAATTACATATGCAGTTTCCTGAACATGGCAGGCTGTCTCATTGCCCGTCTCTAGGATGCCTACTTCTTTTTTGTCCTCCTTTCCACTTGCTACTCATTTTTCATGAATAAGGGAAAATAAAATCTCTTTCTAGGTTCGCTCTTACCCCAGGAAGAATTGACCATTACCTTCCTCTGCACTGCCACTTAGTTCTGCATATATTACCCAAAGCAATTATGCAATGTATTGTTTACATGCCTCTACTTATTGCCATTTCTCTGACATTTCTCTCAATATCTAGGGTGTCAGTACCTAGTAGTGTTCAATGTCTGCTGACTGAATAACTCTCAAAGATAACTTCACACATACATCACTGAATACTGGCCCATTAGGTCTCTTAAAAACATTATTCAGGGAATTCGACAATAGAAACTACTTTGCCCTATAAATTTTCTTTCCAGCTTTTGACTCATACGACACTAAATATAAATTTCTCTGTCTCTTAGATCAGGGATCCCTGGGTGAGGGTCCATGGCCTGTTAGGAACCAGGCTGCACAGTCGGAGGTGAGCAGTGCTCCGTCTTCTGTCAGATCAGCTGTGGCATTAGATTTTCACAGCACATGAACCCTACTGTGAACTGCATATGTGCACTCCATATGAGACTGTAATTCCCCCATCCTTCCCAACCCCCATCTGTGAGAAAATTGTCTTCCATGAAACCAGTCCCTGATGCCAAAAAGGCTGGGACTGCTATCTTAGATAATGCAGATGCTGTCAGAAACTAATGGCATGCTGCCATTCTTACAATACTTACTTTGTTGAGACCTCAAATTCAATCTTTCCCATATTGTTGACCATACAGATGATCTCACTGCAATTCATATTCAACCTAAAATAACACATTAGCATATAAGTGTTCTAATAGAAGGTTATTACTTTATAAACAAAAATCATTTGCTGATATTAAAATAACTAATTGAAAAGAGAACAGTTCGTGACCCACCTGGGCAACTTGGTGAGACCTCATCTCTACAATAAATAAAAAATTAACTGGGCGTGGTAGCACACGCCTCTAATTCCGGCTACTCAGAAGGCTGAGGCGGAAGGATCCCCGGAGCCCAGTGGGTCAAGGCTGCGGTGGCTGGGAGCGGCCATTGCACTCCAGTCTGGGCGACAGAGTGAGACTCCAACTCAAAAAAAAAGAAAAGAGAACAAACAACTTTCTAATATATTAAAATTATACTTGATTGCTAACTTGGGAAACATTTGTACTCAAATTTGCAATTTATAATTGTTTGCTATTTTAATAAATGTAGGCCCTAACATATTTTTTGTACTTGTTATGGTCTCCCAAATAATGACTTACTTACCTGGGAGGGTTCCTTAGTTTTAGAGAACTAAGTTGTGACAATTCTCTCTCTAATGTTAACTTCAAAGTCCATATAATCTACAATCAAAAAAGAAGTGTCATTCATGTCAAATTTTCCTTTGTCACAAATATTGCTGAAACAGTAAGATTTTAGAAGGAAAATTATATCCTTTAGATATTTCATTAATTACTGCATTCAAGGATCAATACTGAGCACTCAAAGGAAGGGATACAAGTAAGTGTCTAGGAATTTTTCCCCTAAAGGAGTTCAAAATCTTCTGGAGATATGTATAAAAGATAACAACAAATACCAGCTAATAAATGGGATGGAGCTACATGATCAGAAAAAATTCTGATCAGATTCATTTTGCATCCATGTTGCTACCTTCAATTTTTTTTTTGCCCTGTTTTCTTCATTAGACTAACAAGAGTGAAGACCAAAGATTATCATATATAATACAGGCCAGGCTCGGTGGCTCAGCCCGTAAACCCAGCACTTTGGGAGGCCGAAGTGAGTAGATTGCCTGAGCCTGCGTGTTCGAGACCCACTCGGGCAACTTGACGAGACCTCATCTCTATAATAAATCAAAAAATTAGCTGAGCGTAGCAGCGCACGCCTGTAGTTCTGGCTACTTGGAAGGCTGAGGTGGAAAGATCATCTGAGTCCAGCAGGTCGAGGCTGTGGTGGCTGGGAGCATGTCACTGCACTGCAGCCTGGGCGACAGAGTGAGACTCCAACTCAAAAAAAAAAAAAAAGGAGGAAAAACTTGCATTGGAGTTTGAATTACATTTTTAAGTCCAGAGCTGACAGCCACATCTACACTGTTTATGGAAGAAAATGGAGTCCCATTTAGTTTGCTACTCTTATTTTTTATTCAGGTGTGAAACCTTAACTTTCAACTCAATGTCACCCTACCTGCTCTCAGGTTCTGTGATATAAAGATTTTACTGCACTATTTCTCTAAGTGGTGAAAAACAATAAATGGTCACACAAATCTTATAATGTTTGTTTAATTTCAAAAACCTAACAATTCTAAAGTGATGACAATAGGTTAGGACAATCTGAAAAGCAAATTCTTGGCTGGGCACAGTGGCTCACACCTATAATCCCAGCACTTTGGGAGGCCAAGGTAAGAGGATTGCCTGAGCCCACGGGTTCAAGACCAGCCTGGGAAACGTGGTGAAACCTCATCTCTACAATAAATCGAAAAATTAGCCAGCCATGGTAGCGCACTTCCCAGCTGCTTGGAAGGCTGAAGCAGAAGGATCTCCTGAGCCCAGCAGGTCGAGGCTGGGGTGGCTGTGAGCATGCCACTGCATTCCAATCTGGGTGACAGAATGAGACTCCAACTCAAAAACAACCACAAAACCAAATTCTTCTTAAATCTCAAATATAATCCAAAGCATGCAAAATAAGCTACCACAGAAATAATTCACATTGTGAGCTATTAAAATTACCTGATTCAGGTCACAATATGTTCTCAGAGAAGGAGCTGATTTTAACCCTCTTGCTATCTTCATAGCTGCATCCAAATCATTTTTTTTCTCTTCAATATAGGATTTAGCCTCTATTAAATCTGATAGATAACTGTCGGTATTTCTTATAAGCTCTTCACACAGGCTCTTTTTCCTTCATTTAAGATCCCAAAGTTAAAAAAAAAAAAAAAATCCCTAAGTTATTTTGCAGTATTTCATAAACATTTACATAAAAGTAAATTTGCAACAAAAGAATCTGAGAGTAATTTCATTCGTTGATAAATTTAACATAACACGGTTAAATGAGGCGTGTACTAACTGAACACTATCTTAAGTGGCACTTTTACTAGTTGATAAACTTAACACATAACATAGTAAATTAGGTATTTAATTCACCTGAAATGAAACTGCCAGGGGAGGGGGGCATGCCTCATCAACAAGAGTACCTGCATAATGAACATTTGTATACCTAACTCTGAATTGTACCCCACATCTTTAAAATAAAAAAATAATAAATATATAAGTAAATGAAAGCTATGTGTAAGGCTGGGTGCAATGGCTCATACCTAAAATCCCTGCACTTTGGGAGGCCAAGGTGAGAGGATTACCTGAGCCCACAGGTTCGAGACCAGCCTGGGCAACTTGGCAAGACCTTATCCCTAAAATAAATAAATTTTTTTTTTTTTTTTTGAGTTGGAGTTTCACTCCGTTGCCCAGACTGGAGTGCAGTGGCCGCTCCCAACCACTGCAGCCTTGACCCACTGGGCTCCGGTGATCCTTTCGCCTCAGCCTTCTGAGTAGCCGGAATTAAAGGCGCATGCTACCACGCCCGGCTAATTTTTGATTTATTGTAGAGATGAGGTCTCGCCAAGTTGCCCAGGCGGGTCTTGAACCCGCGGGCTCAGGCAATCCACTCACCTCAGCCTCCCAAAGGCGTGGGATTACAGGCTGAGCCACTGAGCCCAGCTTAAAATAAATAAATTTAAAAAGCCAGTCAAGCATGGTGGTGAATGCCTGTAGTTCCAGCTACTTGGAAGGATGAGGCAGAAGGATCACTGGAGTCCAGCTGTACTCCAGCCTGGGTGACGGAGTGAGACTTCAACTCAAAAAAAAAAAAAGTCCTTCCTTACCAGTACTTACTTTAAGCATAAATGAATTAAACACTCCAATCAAAAGGCACAGATTTGAAGAATGGATTAAAAAACATGACCCAACTATATACTGCCACAAGAAATTCACTTTAGATCTAAAGATATACAGAGGTTGAAAGTGATAGGATGGAAAAAGACATTCCCTGCCAACAGAAACATAAAGAGCTGGAGTGGATATAATAATATCAGACCAAATAGACTTTAATAGAACAATTATAAACATACATGCTTTGTGACATCAGACCCCAAAATATATAAAACAAACATTGACAGAATTAAAGGAAGAAATAGATATCTCTACAATAATCATTGGAGACTTTAACATTCTACTTTTAATAATGGATAAAACAACCAGTCAGAACCAATAAAGAAATATATTAAGCCAGGCTCGGTGGCTCAGCCTTGTAATGCCGTGTTTTGGGAGGCTGAGGTGAATGGATTGCCTGTGCCCGCGGGTTCGAGACTTGCCTGGGCAACTTGGCGAGACCTCATCTCTATAATAAAACAAAAAAAAATTAGCCGGGCGTAGCCAGGCGTGGTAGCATGCGCCTGTAGTTCCAGCTACTTGGAAGGCTGAGGCAGAAGGATCGCCGGAGCCCAGCAGGTCGAGGCTGAGGTGGCTGGGAGTGGCCACTGCACTCCAGTCTGGGTGACAGAGTGAGACTCCAACTCAAAAAAAAAAAAGAAAGAAAGAAATTACTCAAATAACTACTAGAGACCAACTGGACCTAATAGACATATTTAGAACACCCCACCCAACAACAGGAGGATACACATTTTCCTCAAGTGTTTATGTAATATTTTCTGGGACAGACCAGGTCATATGTTTAATGTCTATTAATATGTATGAATAAGTCTCAGTAAGTCTTAATAACCTTAAAGATTGAAATCCTACAAAATATCTTTTCTGACACAATAGACTGAAACTAGAAAGAATTAACAAAAGGAAAACTGGAAGATTCACAAATATGTAAAATTTATACAATATACACCACCTCTATCTCATTGGGTCAAAGAAGAAATCACAGAGGAAATTCGGAAAATATCTTGGGACACATGAAGAAAGAACACAAAATAAAATGTATAGGGTCAGGCACCATGGCTCACATCTATAATCCCAGCACTTTGGGAGGCCTAAGTGAGAGGACTGCCTGAGCCCACGGATTCGAGATCAATCTGGAAAATTTGGTGAGACCTCCTTTCTACAATAAATCAAAAACTTAGCTGGGCATAGGAGCGTGTGCCTGTAGTTCCAGCTACTTGGAAGGCTGAGGTGAAAGGATTGTCTAAGCCCAGCAGGTTGAGGCTGTGGTGGCCACGAGCATACTACTGCACTCCAGCCTGGGCAATGGAGTGAGAGTCCGACTCAAAAAAAAAAAAAAAATTATGAGATGCAACAAAAGCAATGTTAACAGGGAAATGTATAGTTGTGAACACTTTCTTTTTTTTTTTTTAGTTGGAGTCTCACTCTGTCACCCAGACTGGAGTGCAGGGGC